GCCGTCGCTTTCCATAAGTACATTGACAGTATCCTTGACCTCCTCCTTCCCCCGGCCAGCCCTGGAATCAAGGACCCCATCGTCGACCTCCACGGCCAGGACGAGATCCTCTTCATGGGCCCCGACGAGAACTCTGCTCCTCTTGTCAACTGGGCCACCGAGCACGCTCGCAAGCGTGGTGCTCCATGGTGGAAGTCCTTCTTCACTGGCAAGAGCCCTAAGCTTGGTGGTATCCCCCACGACCGTTTCGCTATGACCACCTTGTCTGTGCGTGAAAACGTTGAGGGTATCTACCGCAAGATGGGCATTGACCAGACCAAGGTCCGTATGTTCCAGACTGGTGGCCCTGACGGAGATCTGGGCTCCAACGGTATCTTGCTCGGAAAGGAGCAATACGTTGCCATTGTCGATGGATCTGGTGTCCTCGCTGATCCTAACGGCCTCGACCGTGAGGAGCTCACTCGCCTTGCTCGCAGCAGGAAGATGATCTGCGAGTACGACGTTTCTAAGCTGTCCAAGGACGGATACCGTGTTCTTTGCGATGACAGCAACGTCACTCTCCCATCTGGCGAGGTCGTTAACAATGGTACTGCATTCCGCAACACCTACCACCTTCGCCCAGGTAATTACGACATCTTCGTCCCCTGCGGTGGTCGGCCAGAGTCCATCAACCTCAACAACGTTTCCAGCCTCATTGTCGATGGAAAGTCCGTTGTACCATTCATCGTTGAGGGCGCCAACCTTTTCGTCACCCAAGACTCCAAGATCCGCCTCGAGAAAGCTGGATGTGTCATCTACAAGGATGCTTCCTCCAACAAGGGTGGTGTCACTCCTCCTCCCTTGAAGTCCTTGCTTCTCTCTCCTTCGATGACGCCGGCTTCACAGAACATATGTGTGTCGCCAAGGATGGAACTCCACCACCATTCTACGACGCCTACGTCCGCGAGGTCCAGGAGACCATTAAGCGCAATGCTCGCTTGGAGTTCGAAGCTATCTGGAGGGAGAATGAGCGCACCGGCGTTCCCCGCAGTGTGCTCAGTGACACTCTCAGTGTAGCCATCACCCAGCTCGACGAAGAATTGCAAAAGTCTGAGCTCTGGGATAACATTCCTCTCCGCAAGGCTACCCTCAAGGATGCTCTTCCCAAGCTTCTCATTGAGAAGATTGGCTTGGAGACTCTTTTGGAGCGTGTAAGTAGCTTCTTCTGGCGACTTATTTGTCACTTGAATGTTGCTAATCATTCCTTGTTTAGATTCCCGACAACTACCTCCGATCCATCTTCGGCAGCTACCTTGCCAGCCGCTTCGTGTATGAATACGGCCCCAACCCCAGCCAGTTTGCCTTCTTCGACTTGTAAGTTTAAACCCCAAACCTGCAACATAAGCGCATGCATAGACCGAATGCTAATCTCCTCTATAGCATGGGCAAGCGTATGCCAAAGGAGGAGATCTAGACTGTCTCGCTCCCAACACGGCACGGCAGAAGGGCGCGGTCCGACCCCTCCGCCTCCTTTTTGGATAAATGTACCAAGACCATATAAAAAAAAGAACCTTGATGTGTTTTTCTTCCATTTTTCTCTTCCCTTTAACGATCCCCCCGTCCCGCCCTGCCACTCCTTATCACGACCGAATCGAAACTAGAATCAATCCCCGAAAACTTAAAAAAGCAACCAACCAAGAAAGCAAAGCAGAAAAAGATTAAGCCTTTTGGTTTTCATTTTTCTTTCTACACAAAAGAAATGTACATGTTGACATTTGTTTGAATTTACCTTTTTGCCCATTCCCTGGATTCGACGGTATACACGACACTTATGCTCACCCACATGCGCCAAACGAACCAGGACCAACAAAAGAAGAAAAAAAAAAAAAAAAAAAAAAAATCGAGGAGGACACAATGATAGAACAGTGCTACGTACGATACTTAGAGATATGAGAATAAAAGGCTCTACGAGCCAAATTTTTGCCCCTCTGCTTCCCACGGAGATCAAGAGGGGAAACATCTGCAGAAATTTTCTTGCTGCTAAACTTCCCGTCCCGAAACAACTAACTATAAATAGCCACTCGGCTATTGACTAGTTAAGCTGACGTCATAATAAGAAAAACTCAGCATTTGCCCCTTTTCCGAAACCCAACCTTAATAATTCAGAAATAGCACCATGGAAGCCCTTCCTTGTTGACATGTTGAAAAGAACAAGGTATCATACTAACAGGTTATTTAATTTATAGCTTTGTTCCATGCTACATGATACAGAAGCGAAGTTACTAGCGAACTGGGCCCATGATAGACCTGAACTCTGCGGGATAATATCATGCTTTGCCGTACTCCGTAAGCCATACTCTTCCCGTCTGCCCGCAAACTGAAGTAATGGGTTAGGCAGATACGAGATGACTTTCGGTGAGATAAATGGCTCATTGCTCAAGGTATAGTTATGTGAAACGGGGCTGTGGTGGGTTTAATATCAGGTCCTGCTGGGGTGATTCGCCTGTATTTTTCCTGGAAAATGTGAGTTGGTGGAGATGCGAGGTTTGAAGGCTAACTAGTTAATTAATTCGTTACTGCCAGAAAGCGTCGTTCACTATGAAATTGTGTAATTGACATGAAAACCCCTTTACACAGTGTTACCTTGAGGCCTGGATATACTGCGCCGGTGTCATGCATTTTTTGATTCTGTCTTCTACCTGGCATACCTAATTATTGATGGTCTTACAAGTGTTTGATTATTTACACCAGATGTCAAATCAGCGTGGGCTTATGTGCTCACACATATATATCCAGGGAGCAAATTAGGATGCCCAGGAAAATGCTTGTTAAGCTCTAAGAATTCTATATTATACAATCCTTTCTATATATCTTTAGTGGAAATTTTTGTGATCAACCACATTGGACACGGTTACTTCATCTCAATAGCGGTCTCGGTCTGCTGTTGGGGCTGCGTCTTGTCTCTTGTCTTTACCTGCTGCGTCGTTGGCTCTTGGTCTGGTGTCTTCCATAGGCTCCCCTTCATTGCTTCTGGAACCTCAATGACCAAGCTCAGCACCAAAGCTACTGCGCACAATATAATACATGAGTAGTATACACTCTGATAGCCGACCAGGCTGAGAACTCCCGACTTGCCGTCACCGTACTGTCTGTTAATACCATCGGCAACGGCTGTGAGTACCGCGAGACCCAGTACACTTCCTCCGACTTGGAGAGCAACATTGAATACACCAGCTACCACGCCCTGGTCACTCTTGCTTGCACTGGATACTACAACAAAATTTGCAGTAATGTAAACCACACCCAGGCCGGCAATGTATAATATCATACCAGGGAAAGCGAAGCGCCAGTATGACGTCTGACGGGTGATAAAGCTGAACAGTACCACACCGGGAATGCAAAGCGCCCAGCCGATGACGAACATGGCTCGGGCACCGAGCAAGGGAACCAAACGGCCTGCAATTGTGTTGGTAACCAAAGCAGATATGCCAACCGGTGGGAATAGGAGAGATGTGTGTAAGGGCGACGATCCATAGGATTGAATCTGGAGAGTAAGGAAGTAGGAGCATGCCTGACGGACGGCATATGTTGCCACGGCTAGGATGAGTGTGAGTGTGAAACTTGGACGAAAAAGGCGAGGGTTGATCAAAGCCTGGGGTGCTCGAGATTCGTGCAACGCAAACAGGAGAAGCAACAGGCTCGAAATCGCCAAGGTGGAGATGATAGACGGTGAGCCCCAGCCCGTTGTATTGGCTGAGGTAAGTGCATAAGTCAATAGAAGCAGGCTGGGAACTCCCAGAGAGATCCCAAGTATGTCAAAACGGATCAGATGTGCCTTTATGGACCGGAAAAACTTCTTCTCTTCTTGCTCTTCCTTTGTAATCTCACGAGCAGCGGGTGAACGGGCTGTCTTAGCTCGAGGAAGGAAGACATGGGCTGTTGGCACAACAATAGCAGAGAGAATAAGAGAAATCCAAAAAATCCAACGCCAGCTGATAAGGGCCGTCAGCACACCGCCTAGGATAAGGCCTACGATGAATCCCACGCTACCAGCTGCAGCCCAGAATCCGAGAGCTTTTGCCCGCTCTGCGGGTGAAGGAAAGTATATGGCGACATGAGCTTGCGCAGAAGGGATGGTGAA